ATAGAGTTTCAGGATAAATCATGAGGGGATTTGACTGACCTTGTCAGATACAAAAGTTACATTTTTTTGTTTTATAGGTCTTGCTTTATCTTGGTCTTAACCATCCAGCAGAAAAGTATAAACATGAAGTATAAAAAGTAAAGCCATATTAATAAGCTGAGCTGTAAAAGGCTCAAGTCAACAACTTTTGACATTGCCAGGATTATGGAAAACCCACTACTATTATGGACTACTGAACTTTATTGGAATATTTTGCTGAATTCACGCACCTACAATATTTAAATTACAATGGAATACCCTTCTCTGGCAAAATTAAATGGAAAAGGGGGATACAAATGAACAACCATTTTGTATGTGTATGCTCAAAATAGTTAGGATAGACATACAGCTGCATTCTCTTAATTCAATAAATAGAAAGATTCATTCTAATAGTGTCTGTGGACATGATATCATGTCTGCATCTTTTACAGTGAATAACCACTAAGAAAACAATATGCAACGTATTAATTATTGAAACTGTGCTAGTAATTGGCTTTGAAACTGTCTCATTGTTATTTGTTTCTCAATAAAATTATTTTAAAAATAAAAAAAAGTCCTTTAACTTATTTGGTCCAAGGTCTCACTACACAGCTCAGATTCTAGTGATCGTCCTGTCTCAGCCTCCCCGTGCTGGGCTTACAGGCATATGCCACCATGCCCTGTCTCTGTGTCTGGCTCTGCATAGGACTGGCACAGCATGCAGTACCAGGGATCAGACCAGAGTCCTTGCAGGCAGGCACTTAGACCACCAAGCTATCTTCCCAGGCTGGTAATGTCTTTCCATAATTCATTTTGTGTTTACTTTTACCCAGGTTTTTATTTCTTTTTCTTTTCCTACTTTTTTTTTATTGTGTTTTATGATTCCTTAAAGTGAGTATTTCTAGAATAGAGAGGAAGCAGAATAAAAACTCTCATGTATTAAAGAAGAAATGTTTTCAATACAGTCGGAAATGAGATCATAATCTAGGGCTGGGAAATTTGAGCATGTTATATAGAAGGGATTTAGAATATTTACTTTAGGAATGCTCTTTGGAAAACAAGGTGTTACCATGGATTTCCAACTGTTCATAAGTTCCCAGCTCAAGTAAATAATAAAATTGCTTGGATGAGTAAAATATACTATGATCAAAACTGGTGGTGTCTCTCCAAGATAGGTCCTAAAACTTGGAAAAAAATATTATGGAATTATGGTGCTAGTTAGGTAAGTTCCCATTTCAATTTCAGTTTTAGTAAGAACCAGTGACATCTTCCTTCACAGAGTGTCTTAGTCACTTTTCCTATCATCAGGACACAATAATCCAATACTCAAAGCTTAAAGAAGTTGTCATTATTAGATTTTCTTATGGTAGCCATTTTTGCTGGGGCAAGATGATATATCAGTGTAGTTTTTATGTGCCCTTCTCTGGTGGCCAGCGATAATTAGCATTTTTTCATTTATTTACTGGCCATTTGTATTTCTTCTGAGAAGTGTTTATTCATTTTGATTGCCTCGTCTTTGACTGAGGTTTTAATTGAGGGAGTCTAATTTTTTTTGAGTTCTTTATATATTCTTAATGTTAGTCTTGTTAGTCTTCTAGCTGAAATTTCCCCCTATTTTTAGGTTGTTTCCTTGCTGTCTTGGTTGTTTCCTTTGTCCTACAGAAGCTTTTCTTTCAAAGAATACAAAATGGTAAAAAAAAATTAGAAATGGTATGGAATTTCATTAAAACAAGTAATAAGAATTAGACAGTGGTTGTTGTATTGCATAATGTTATTTGATGCAATCCCATTTGTTGATTTTTGGTATTATTTCTTGGGACACTAGGGTTCTAGTCAGAAAGTCCTTGCCTACAACAATGTCTTCAAGATTGTGTCTATTTTGTCTTGCAGCACATTGTTTCTGTTGTTTCAGAAACATTTTTGATATGTATGCTAATTTGTTTCACTTATACAAATAGTTTATCTTGGTTCATTGAAAAGACGGTTTGGTATTACTTTTCTGTTTCTTGTAGGAATTCTTGGGGTTTATGTCTTGCACTCTGGGTAACTTCTTTGAAGATAATGAAATACATGTATTAACTATTTTAATTTTATTATTATTTTGGTATAAAAGTTTATTTTTTCATAAAATAAAAGGTTAAAAAATTTCTACTTCCAAAGTTTAAAAATAAAATTAAATCAAGAGAGGTTTATTTTGGCTCATGCTTTTTAAAAATTTCCAGAGAAAAAGCAACATGGCAGCGGGGAGTGGCAGAGGAAAAGCTACTTACCTCCTGATATCCAGGAAGTAGAGATTCAAGGGAGAAGCTAGGAGGAGACACTCTCCCCTTGGCCATGCCCCCAGGGACTTGTACCTTTGGATACAGGCCCCACCCCAACAGCAGGGCAGTTACTGTGCCCCCATAAGCCCCTTCTATAAGCTACTCTGAGGAAAACAAAAGGGTTTGGGGGAACATCTAGCTATAAACAGTAACACTGCTGTTATGGGTCTCAGCTGCTTTTAGATAGCACATCTTTCTAGGAGTCTAGGGCTTTGGAATAATTCACAGCTATCTTTTCTGAGTCTGAGGTATTCACTGGTTTACAAAGAGTAGAGGAGCCCAAGGGTCTTCAGCAGCCGTTGGATGAAGCTTCTCCCATAGTCTCAGAGCTCAGTTGTCTGGAGAGCTAGGACAAGGTGGAGTAATTGGAAGGAAATGATGTTCTTGAGTGGAAATAGAATGAATGGAAAGTTGGCAAGCAAAGAGGATGCTTTATGGAATGCATGGTTTTGGAAACTTACTGTCATAATTATTCTCTCTTTGAACTGATTACAATTTATATGGAACTCTTTTTGTTTGCAAAACTATGATTGCATGAATAATGTAATGAAATATGAGTTCAGTGTACGGGCTCAGTTAATTGATCTAAGTCTCATTTTTGTCTGTAGGCATTATTTCATTTACGTGCCAAAAATCTATGTGATGAAAAATGGGAAAGTAACAGTATCGTGGGAGTTTTGCATTTAAATTGTCTTCCCAATAATCACCTGGTTTTTAGTATAAAATTTTTCTCAAATCTTAACTTTTACTACAGAAAATAACATTTTATGTATAAAAAACTGACCTAGCTAGTTGCTAAGGGCAGAAAAAATAAAACAAAAATAAATGGACCCATCTCATTCCACCATTGATCACTACATTGTAGAATAAGGAAAAGTAAAGATTCTGGGACCAGACTTTGGGTTGACTGTTGCCTTTACAGTTTAGCAGTTATGTAGCCCTGCACATGTTGCTTCAGGATCTACATCTGCAAAAGGTAAAATAATTGATCTCATAGATTTGATATAAAAATTAAATCAATTAGCACATGTAACAAGGCCTGGTACATAGTACATACTCATAAGTTGCCATTACTGTCACTAGGGTGAAAAAATGACACACTCCCAGCAATTTGGGGCTGTCACATATTAAGTCATATATAGGCTGTGGATGTCAACATTTATACACATTCCATAATTATATTAAAATTAAATTTTATTCCTAAATTAAAATTTAGGAATAAAAATGTCAAACATCATCCATTTGAGTTTCATAATTTAAACATTTTCTCAAACATAGAAATCAATTTTCCAAATACAATTTTAACATCAGAGAAGGTAATTATAATTGTTTCTTGACATGTACATTTAAAAAATTTTAATATTTTCAAAAATAAAACATCACTAGGTCCTTAAAAAGTATAATTGAGACAACTTTCTTTTTTTGGTGCTGGGAATCAAACTCAGGACCTTGTGCTTGCTAGGCAGGCCCTTGTGCCACTGTATCCCCAGCCCCAGTTAAGGCAAAGTTTTTGTCTTTTATAAGTGATAAAAATCAGCAGCATCATGTTTCTAACTCCCCACACAGTAAGCTGACAATGAAAGGCAGAGTGAAATATTTTTGGGGAAATCCAAATTATATTTCCAATAAAATAATAAATGGAAAACATAGAACTGACTATATTATTTCATTTATTCATCTTTTCAAGTCTATGAAATATATATATATATATATATATATATATATTCCCTTATTGTATTAAAACTAAAGCTCTCACAGCTTGACTTTGACTGTGAAGTTACTGTTTAGGAAGTTAGATCCTTGCTGTTGAGCTTCAAAGCCTATTCTCTCTCCTCTGTGCCTCCCAGAAGTGATGGACACCACAGGAGAAATTTAGTACAAAACTTAAGGTTGATCCACAAAAACAAAGCTTTTCAAGATTTTCAATATTTTATAATTCAGCTCTCCGTATTTCACTATAATCAGTTTATTTTTTTATTCATTAATGCTTCACCTGAAACAATCTGTACAGTCCCCTGTGGATCTTTGTGTTTATGGATGGTGAAAGCCTAATAACAGGGCCGGTGAGATAGCTCAGTGGACTAAGCGCCTGCTTAGGCAAGCACAGGGACCAGGGTTCAATCCCCAACACTACAGGCTGTGCTAGCCCCACACCTGGGTGCGCTGAGTGGGCCACTGAGTCTGGGCATGATGACGCATGCCTGTAATCCAGGGAAGCTGAAAACGGGAGGGTCGACTACGAGTCCCAGCAGTGTAGTGAGACCCTGTACCAAATACATAAATGAAACAAAACAGCCTAATGACAGAAGGTGCTACTTGGTTTTTCTGCTAGCTAGACATTTCAATTAGGGGGATGACACTGCGTGGTGTGGAAATCCCCCTCCTCCTTTATTCAGTGAAGAAAAAGTATTCATTGACCTCAAATATTTGTGCAGTACTTGGATGCTTTATGATATTATGATCCACATTGACTTTTCCTGATTCTCTAGGTAGAATAATCCACCCTGTTGGGAAGTCTCAAGATTTATAAAAAATAGTCTAAATAAAGGATGGTATAGTAAGTAAAGCTGAAATTGAGCTTTAAAGTCCTATAAATTATCCTAAATTCCTTACATTTTGATTTTAGAATATCCTGAATCTTATTTTCCATATTTCCCACAGGACTATTTTACAAATGCAAAAAAGGAGTTGAAAAAAGACACACAGCAAGATTACCACCTGGAATATGCCATGGAAAATGATACACACACAATAATTGAGTTTAGCAGAGAACTGCATACATGCGACGTAAATGACAAGAGTATAACGGTAAGGAGAGTGTGAGTGGACGCAGGCTTGAACAAATTGTTTATTTGTGTTTGTGAAACATTTTATGGAATAAAAAAGTAAACAGAGATAATGCCTGACAACAAAATCACAGATTCTTCAGGAATATTTTTGAAATCTCTAGAAATGCCCTCTCCTCCCAAAAAACTAAGACTAAAAAACTCAATCAAGATAGTTTATATATGAATTTAGGAGCTATATATGAATTCTGAGGAGCTGCTTAAAGTCTGTGGATCTTACTCATAGATGCATTTTATCTTCCATATAAAATTCAAAAATACATGATTGCTAAAAGTTTGAAGAAATGTACTACAAGAAAGAGTTATGATAGCATTCAGATGATTTGTAACTGATTCTTCATTGTAAATATCTAAAATCAAGATGAATACTCAATTGACCATAATAGCCTACAAGCATATTATATGAGATTTCTTAGTTTCATGCAAAACTTACCTTTTTGTGTATGCAAATGAAATGTCTCTAGAATATTCTAAGTCATCTGGCACTTGGGAAATTCTACAAATTGCTTGCAACAATTTCATTTTGTATGGGCCAATAAAATATCTTTTTATTTGATCAATTAAAGCTTTAAAATTGCAATATAAAAAATGTGAAGTAATTCTGATTAACATTCAGCTAAAAAAGTGAAAATGAAAAAAAAGTGCTAAGACCTGGGTCTGTTTTTCTGTAATCTACAGTGTAATTATACTTTAATTGGAATAATAATTATAATCATTTAGCTTATTGAGAAAGAATACATCAAAGAGAACACTTAAAATCAGTAGCTTTTGCTTTCTTTTCTGTCCTCAAAGTTCTTATTACAGAGATTTGGCAAAAACACCTTTATCTCTGGAAGGAGTGACAGTTTCTCTAGATCCTGCAAGTCTTTCCAGCCCCACAGCCTGCTGGGCAATATCCTTTGGTGGCTCAGTACAAAGCCTGACAGAATTTTCCCTAGTTGGAGTACGCTAGTCCTTTGGGAATTCCCAGGACTCATAAAGGGATTGTGCATTGACTCTTGTGATAAATAAATCCAGTCATAAATTTCTTCTGTATTTTTACTTTCTGTAAATTTATACGTGGAGCTGGACCAGTGTCTAGGAAGAAGTGTGAGAAGCCTTATGGCAATGTTAATTTTCACTCTATTTGCTCATTTACACTAAAATCCCCAGTATATTAAAGCCTTTTTTGGGGGCAGAACTGGGGATGAACTCTGGCCCTTGCGCTTGCCAGGGAAGCTCTTATTCTACTGAGCCATCTCCCCGGCCCCTATTAAAGTCATTTGTCAAAGTCTGTGCCGCTTAGCCACATTTTTGCTCGGTAACTGCTAGTTGCTAGTTGAGCATTTCTGCCTGACCCCGGTTTCCTCTCGTCCTGTGAGAGAACATAATAATTCTGAAGACAATCGGCCTTCACTGTGCTTTGCAACATTCCATACTGGGAGACAGGACTCCTATAAATGCACTTATCCCTTTGGGTCCTTAATCACACACTCAAATACACGAGCTTGACGTTAGAAGCTATGTCAAGAACTCCGGATGTCGCTGTTATTCTCTTTTCTTCACTTTTATGTCCTGCTTTAAATAAAACTGTTTGCACTGGACTAAGTGGTAGGGAATCGCTCTGTGACATCATGTGCCCATCCATTTCTGGCCTCCAGGACAGCACGGTGAGAGTGATCTGGGCCTACCACCATGAGGATGTGGGAGACACTGGTCCCAAGTACCACGACGCCAACCGGGGCACCAAGAGCCTGCGGTTACTCAGTCCTGAGAAAACCAATGTGTTGCCGACAGCCTTGCCATCTTTTGACCTGGTAAATCAGGACGTAAGTTTCTTTAGGTTTTATGATTGTAGGAATGAGTTTCATAATGAACCGTAAGACTCCTTATTCATATTACTGCACTCAATAAGCAAATCAACAGAATGTGACTTTGTTTCCCTCTGCCCTTTTTATTAAGACAGGTCCCCATCCCAAACAAAGGTACAACGTACTGGTGCCAAATGTTTAAGATTCCTGTGTTCCAGGAAAAGCATCATGTGATAAAGGTATGTAACTTACTTGTGGAGCTAAGCTTAATTGGTACAAATGGAAAAAGAAATAGCTGTTTTTAAAATGAGGTCAATGAGAAATATAGAAGAAAGAATGTGGTTGGCTAATCCAGACCCTGTTTTAGGAGTCTGGAAGCTTGGATTATAACTAGCATTTAGATTATCTCCTAATTCTACAAGTCAATGGTAAAAGTTTTGGACTGTATTTGGAGTACTCTAGTTAGTTATTTAGGAAATAATTCTGCATTGGAGATTGCTGGGATAACAATTTAAAAGATGTTTACATATTCATAAATCATATTCAAGAAGCTTATTTTTCAGCAGACTGGCAGCAACTGCGGTTTGATCTTGGTGTGCTGTGCTGGCCCAGTCCCCAGTGCACACTGAGACAGCGAGAGAGACTAGGCTTGGTGGTGCGCACCTGTAATCCCAGCACTTGGGAAGCTGAAAACAGGAAGGTCACTATGAGTCCAGTCTGTATGGTGAGACCCTGCAGACCCTGTACTAAATACATTTTAAAAAATTGGTACCAAGAACCTTATTTTTCTTTAATAATATTGTTTAGGAGTATCTGCTTCTTTGAAAATACTAGATATTATCATAAAAATTATTCTTTTCTTTTTCTTTTGTCTTTCTGGGCTAGTATATCACTATGCAGTTCAGGCTGGCCTGAAGCTCGATTTGTAGCCCAGGCTGGCCCTGAACTCACCACGATCCTCCTGCTTCAGCCTCTCTTGCTGGGACTACAGGCATGCATCACTACATCCAGCTATCATAAAAATAATTCTTAGCACATTTTTTAAATAAGAAAAAATACAATTACTAAATTTCTATAAATGTTTAGAAAGCATCATTGCTTAATAAATAAGTTCAATTAGCCTGTGGCGTACAGTTCTCTCCCAGCCCTCTGAGATAGATCTCCCAAAACTTCTGCATCTAGTTATCATGATTTAAAAGCTCCAGTGCATGGTTCTGTCTTAGTAATTGTTGGCAGTACTGTAGAGTCTTGAGCTTATGAGCTGTATTCCTAAAGACTTACAGAGATATTACAGAGCACATAGCCAAAATGTAAGAACAGATTAGAATTAGTGCGTGCAGAATATTGTAAATCTGCAGAAAGTCAGATATTGCCATCTTTCTGTCAGTCCTAGACTATATAATGAAGCAGTACAGCTGTGAGAAAGGAGCAAATGCCTTGATTCTGGGAATTAGAGGGGAGCCTGTGGGCTGCGCTGCTGCCCACCCTACCGCTATGTGTGCTAAGGGGAGTCACTCCCCGGCAGTCTACAGCCCGGTCGAGGTAGGCCCTGTCGACCTTAAAGGATTTTAGCTGAGAAGGACACACTGAGCGCAGTCTATACAGGGGCTTAGATTGGTTACTTTGTAGGGTATTTGACAAGCGGCACAGATCTGGCTTTTGCTGACAAGAGGCAAACGCGGAGAGTTGGCGCGTTCAAGCTATATGCAGTCCTAAATGTCGGGCGGGTGCTCTTGCCAGCAAAGCCTTACCAGCAGTAGAGCTCCAGATGAGCCATCTACTTCTGAGCAAGGAGTTACTTTACACTTTGTGTATATGAGAGCAGAAAGCAAATTCTAATCCCAGCTGCTCAGTGGAGCGTTAGGGCTCTTTCCTTCAGTGGTGCAGTCTTTCTGCAAGAGAGACGCTTACACTGATATAGACCATGGGTCTCTGCAAGAAGTTTCATTGGTGCTTGAACTAAAGACCAAATAGAAGGCTTCAATTTCAGAGATGAAATTAACTGTGTCACAAATAGGTCCTTTATTCATTTTTAAAAATTTTATTTATTTTATTAGTCCATATTTGTAGTGCATAATGGTTACATTCATCGTGGTGAGTCGGTACATACCCATAAAACAGCTTAATTTTTTTTTTTTCGGAACCAGGGATTGAACTCAGGCCCTTGCGCTTGCCAGCGAAGCGCTTATTCCACTGAGCCATCTTCCCGGTTCCAAAACAGCTTAATCTTTAACAAACATTCATTGTGGGGATGTAAAGTCCTTAGCCCCTTACAGTAATGCATCTTTCCTTGTCATTAGTTATGGTGATAATTGAGTTGAATGAAATCAAAGTAACTGTCTACACTTAAAGGATGGCAATACGTATTTCAGCTGTCTTAACAGCTCACCCAGGCCTTCTGTGCTAGCTTTCCCACCACTTTAACTCTCAGATGAGTGCATTTAGGACGAATCCTTCTGGAACCACACTGCTGTCCTTGCATGGCATTTGCACAAAGGGAATCTTAAGTGGCATGAGGGCTGTAGGGGCATTTTTTTCTTTCCACAAAACCGAAGGTCCACCAAACACAAAAAAGCTTTGGGAGGCCCTCTGAGGGAGGGCCAGCAGGTCTGAGAAGAGGGCTTATGCCAGCCGTGGTCACTGCAGGATTCCACCGATTTGATGGCTAGAACTTAAATTTTATTATTACTTAAAAATATTACTTGCAGGATAGATTCCTGAACTTATTGTTAATCCCTAAAATATATTAAAGTTTACTAAGTAGTATGAAATATCCAAAAGATAACATACAAAACAGAAATTTTTACGGGAATAGAAATTCCAAGTGGTTTTGAGGCAATCTTCTGTCAGTTTTAATTTGCAGCTTCTTTAGGTTATAATAAAATTTTAATATATTTTTGAAGTAGAATTCATTGGTCTAGAACTTGCCTTAAGAACTCATCCAATTTCCATTTTGTTTTTTTCTGTAGAGATGACTTCTAATAACATGAGAAAAGTATATATTCTTTTCATAGAATCAGAGCCTCCTATGGTCTGAGAAGCCATTCAGAAAGGTTTCTTCTTATTCCTAATTTTATGCTCCATAAATCCACTGTATCAAAAGCCTCAGTCTTTCTCTACTTCAAAGAAAGTGTTTTTACAAAACATTGCTTTTGTGTTGTTTATGGAGGAGTGTGTCATATGCAGTGAATTTTATGAATATAACAGTTATATATCAGAAATTAGTTCCCCCATCTGGACTCTTAACTCTAACAAATAAATAGTTTGTATCTTCAGTTTAAATGTTGATACTATATGTAGTATACACCTCATAGATAAAATAACCATAAAACTAAGCTGGTAAAAGTATTAGTCCTTCAATCAGAAATATTTGTGGTAGACAATTCTAGTTCGAATTCCATTTCTATTTTTAACATGTTACTTACAAAACCCATCTGATGGAAAATACCTATTCCATGTTATGTCTAAGATGTTTGATATTCAGACAGATAGTGAAGTTAAAGCCAACTACTTAAGATGTAGGGTAATAATAAGTTTCTCTTCTGGAGGGTTAACAACCTAAGTTTGCAGACCAAAATTTAGAGAAATAGAAGGGCTGCAAGGACAGCCAACAATTTGATCCTAGCCTTTCAAAGTCAGCGAAGACTCAGGACATAGGAGAATCGACACTGTAATATCATGTAACTTAGTTGTGTCCCAAATTTTCTGAACAAGGAGATTATGGGGCCCCAGAGCAATATGATCAATGACATAGAGTGCACCTGAGAGTCACATGGAGAGAAAATACTCTTGCAAGCTTTCACAGAGAGCAAATTGGTCAAGCAATGGCTGTGACTCATCCACATGGCTGACACTGACAAAGGATCTACAAAGTGCAGTACAGGGTTACAGGATAAATCCTGAGGGTACTTGACTGAACTTATCAGATACAAAAGTTACATTTCTTATTATATAGGTCTTGCTTTATCTTGGTCTTAACCATCCAGCAGAAAAGTATAAAAACGAGGTATATAAAGTAAAGTCATATTAATATGCTGAGCTGTGAAAGGCTCAAGTCAACAACTTCTGTGGATAACCCATTACTATTGCGGACTGCTAGACCATGTTGGAATCTTTTGCTTAATTCATTCACCTATAGTATTTAGATGCAAATGGAATACCCTCTTCTGACAGGACTAAACAAAAAAAAAAAGGCAATACAAAGGAAAGACCATTTTGTATCGGTATATGCAGAAGTTAGGATAGATATACAGCTACTTTCACTTAACTCAATGAGAAGAAAGATTTGTACTAATAGTGTTTGGACAGGTTATCCTGTCTGCATCTTATACTATGGATAAGCACTAGGAAGATAACAATGTACAATGTATTAATTATTGAAACTGTCCTATTAATCAGATTAGAAACTGTCTCATTAATATTTGTTTCTCAATAAAATAAAATAAAACAAAAAAAAAAAGAAATATTTGTGGTGCGATTAAAAATGTTTAAATATAAATATTTAAATTAAGACATTTATCACAGTAAAAGGACACATTGCCATTAATCAGCCTAGGAATAGCCCCTCACACTTTGCACAGACTCTTCCCATCATCCTTTGCTACTTTTGGAAGCAGTTCTGGAAACCTTCTTTCATGCGTTGCTTTACTTGCACTGTTGTGGCTGCCTCAGTGTCCTGAATCAGTTCAAACTTTACCTTTCATGGTCATTTTGACTTTGAAGAAGTGCCGGATCTGGTGCCAAATTTGGTGACTAAAATGGCTCAGGATTAACTGCAGTATTTTTATGAGCCTCTCTTCCCTTTGGGTGGCACTCAACAGCAGCGTCCACTATGGCTTTGATCTTACCTCCTGGAGACCATCAGGAAAGAGGCCTTCCAAGCACTGCTTCAGAAAGTGGCTAGAATGGTGGGTTAAGTGTGCTTAAAGTGAGGGGAAGTATTTTCTGAAGAACTAATGGCATTGTGTCTTTAACTGTAGTTCATTTTTTAAATGTAAAAATTACCATATATTTTTATTATAAATTCTTTTTAATGGTATAATTAAAAAAGAAAAATATTTATTATGCTTTTAACTTAAATTTTAATCATGTAAAATTATTTGCTACTGCATAATTAAATAATTTATCTGTAGGAAAATGAGATTATAATAAACTTACTGGTTCAAAATCACTTGTTGATTCCATTTTATTGATTTGTATTTTGATTCTTGAAAAAAGTTTAATGTTATCTAGTGAATAT